AGTTTGAAATGACTGAGCAGGAAAAGCAGTCAATCACAGATGAGCTCAAACAATGTAAAGACAACCTGAAGCTGCTCCGAGAGAAAGGAAATAATGTAAGTCTTTGCAAACTTGGCTTAGCTTTGATTGAGAGGCAGGTGAGAGATTTGAAATTGATTTTCAGAGGACTTTATTACTGATTTGGGAGGCTAATGGTACACATGAAGTAAGCTTTTCATTATGAAATTCTGTGATGGAATCATTGTACAGTCAAGTTTTTGAGTAATATTAATAATTTGCCCCTTTAACCTGTGCTCCTAGAAGAGCCTGAGGACTGCCTGAAGAAAGAGCCTTGTTTGCAATAAAACAGCTTACCTAACAACTGTCAGCTTTTCCCAGATGAATCTAAAGCTCTGTCACTAAGTCATCATCTGGCTCATATTTCCCTCCTGCTGAGAAAGGAAGCACTATACCACCAGGGACGCATTTAAAAGAGAGTAGTACATGTTGATCTTTAGCGTTTGGCTGTATCGAAGAAATGGAGACTTAATTATGGTTTTCATTTTATACTAATAATATTCTCACTAAGGCACATTTCTGAAAAGCTTAGTGTCTCTTTGACATCCTGTAAATATTAGAAAATATTTGGTGAGTTTCTGTAGGGCTTTTTGAGTGTGTGTGTGTGAGAGAGAGACAGAGAAAAAAATAGAAAGGGGGAGAAGGGAGAGAGAGTGGAACATTTTGGTATAAATTGAGTTTAGTAAAATTTATTTGTTTTCCATTTGCTAGAAAGGCAGATGGTCTTTAAAAAAACGTTATACTAAATAAATGTTGTGTTGTACGTTTTGGTGATCATTACCTTTGTGGGCCTTAACAGATGGATGTTTAGTGTGGTTGATTGTGCTCTGACTTATTTCAAACCCCTGTCATGGCTTGGACACTGCAGTATGCGTGAGCCACATGCTTCCCATGGAGGAAAGCACTCTGCTTAACTGGCAGCACAAGTACAAGAGTCACGTTGCATGGCCATCCAGTTACTCAGTTGCTCACAGAATGCTCATGAGTTGTGTCCAACTGTCCTTTGCTAAAGAAAGTTAGTTTTTGACACTAAAGGCTTACTTACTGCTTTAAGTAGAAGCCTTTTAGAAGTGGATGAATTGAGTGTGGAGGCTTTATGCTAAGCAAAAATGGAATGCATTTATTTTTGAAAATGTCGATTACAGAACTCTTCTAAAATCAGATCATAATGGTTTGGTTACTTCTCTCTTTTGGGTTAATTCATATCCCTCTGATTACGGAATTTCAGTCCACTTCCTGCTAAATTAACCCATTGAAGACATCTAGCATAATCAGAATGGATCCCCCTGTACTATTTAGAACATTTTCAAAAGTAACCTTGCTGTTATTATTTATAGTTACAATTCACCTTAAGGGGTGAATTTCCTTTTTTTGTGGTGTTGTACTTATGGTACCAAAATTTTACTCTGTAATAACTCATTATAGTAATTCCCTTCCAATTTTAAAAATTAATTATATTCTAATAACATAAATGAAAGCCCTGAGACTCAGTTGCCTGTCTTTATATGCCAAATCTTTATCATACATTGTGTCAGATCTGTTGCCTGATTTAGGAAGCACACATTATCACAGGGCATTTATTTTTAAGCAATACCATCTCATAAGCAAAAGAGTTTTGGTTGGAGGGGAATAAAAAGGTTTTGTTGGAAGGATAAAATAAACCTTAGCCATTGCCAAGGAATTACATTGTCAAATAATGGATTCCAGGTGTGGAAAAAAATAACGTACTATAAAGCATCTGTTGGTGAAGTGTTGTCATTGCTCTGTCTTAATGTGCCACATTTCATTAGGGTCTTAGGGACACCCACATTGCCCGTTGCATCCAGCTGTTCCTTTTAAACTGATAGTTTGCCAGCTTACCTACCACAGTCCATCATTCTGGATTGTGCTAGATGTCTTTAAAATATTTGAATCAGTGCAGAACCTGAGTGGTATACTTCTATTACTTTAGTCTTCCTTCCTTCCCTCCCACCCCCCTGGGGTCTAAATCATCTTATCTGATTATTTTCATAGCATAAAATGATTTTAATATCCCTTCCCTTCTTTAGCCTTCCATATTACAACCCGTCCCAGCCGTATTCATCGGCCTATTCCTGGCTTTCCTGTTTTGGTGTTTCGGTCCATTGTGGTAGAGAAAGGTACAAGCACTACTGTTGAGTCCTTGTCTGTTTGTCCCCGTCACCTGTTTGTGCCATATTTGTAATATAGTGCATGGCAAAAACACACAGGTATTTTGTTACCTGAAGCAAACCCTTCATTTAGTATGCCATGTATTTGTGTCATACCAATGAACTGAATAGTCAACTAATCACATAACATTTTGTCTTGTTTCCTTTGTAGTAATGCTAACCATGAATTAATTCCAACCTAACCAGTTGTTAATATGCTTCCTTTAACTGAGTCTTTATCTCTAGCAAACCGGAATAAACTATGAATTTCTACATTAGTACCCCTCTTCCTAATTGTGTGTTTAATCAGATTTCAATGAGAAATGAAGAGTTTGCCTCTCTGAAGTTTTCAACCAGCTTTTTTCCCTCTCCTCCCTACCCTCTCCCTTCCATAATGTAGAGTTTGTTTTAACCCTATGCCTGTTTATACTGTGGCTATGAAGATGAAAAAGAATGAGATTAGCATAATGAACCATTGGCTGGCAGCCTCAACCCCAGTATGCACTTGTGGGAGTACAAACCTATCCCATATCTTTCTGAGCCCTGATCTGCAACAACAGCATATTTCTTTAAAAACGAACTTTCTCAGTAAGACTCTCAGAATACAAGTAAAAATAAAAGTGTCAACTAAAGTCAGTTTATATTATAAAGCCCTCTGAAAGTCAACAGGGAATAGACCATCCACGCTTGCCTCTAATCGGCATGCGTGTTAGGAGAACGTATGAGATGATCACGTGGCTTTCAGACGGGCAGGATCCCTAATGTTACTTCCGCATCTTGACCCCCGTCTGATTTTGTCTTCTATGCTTTCAAATTAGAGGATCAAAGCCTAGACCATTTTCTTTCTATCACCTTAGCCACCAGCCCCTGGTATAAAATATCCCAACATGTCCGAGTCTGGTTTTCTTTAAGAAGTAAACATGTTAGGCAGAAACATACTATAGGCTTCTACATACATCAGTTATATTGCAATATATGGATACGAGAGTAAATTAAGCAGGTGGAGCCCAGAGGATTTCGTAGAAGTCACCACTTGGTTCAACTGTAACAAAGCTGAAAATTGCCCAGGACTTTCCTGGTCTGTATTAGGCTTCCAAATGGTGGTCCTGCTTTTATGGCTCTCCTCATACCTATACTCCCTCACTTTTTTTTTTTCTTTTCTCTTTAAACTTTATTCTTATGAAACAAAAATAAGATTTTTCCAATATTCTGTTAAGTATTCAGGACTCCCTGGAACCAGGGGGGTTAGTAGGTATGAAAAGAGAGGGGAGAATGTGATATTGACTCTTGGTTTCTTTCCACACAGAAACCCTGGCCCTGGATGCCCATGTTGGCTGCCCTGGTTGCGGTGACAGCCATCGTGCTGTATGTGCCAGGTTTGGCCAGAGCTTCTCCATGAGAGTGTTCCTTGAGTCTGTACACCGTCCTCCCTCTAGAAGCTGGCATCACACTCATGCTGGGGACAAACAGAACCATTT